AAACGTGGTCTGTTCAGTACCACTATTTCTGATGCCAAGCATGTATCAGAAGATCTTAAATACTCAAGTCCTCAAGAGTATGGATGAACCTTACTGCCCTCTTCCTGATACCTCCCAGCTCTCAGTTCTGTAATCATTGTACATCATACACTAACTCAAAATTAACTTGAGTTGCTGTCCTGCTGCCACATTTATGGAGTTGTAGATCACCTACAATGCTGCAAACCCACCCTGAAACAAAAGGCAGCATAGGACTCATGCTGCAAAATCAATCTTCGACTTCAAACAAAGCTCAGCAAAATATTTTAGTTTCACAGCTAAGGTTAAGAAATGAATCCCAATTATTTGAAATGGATTTAAGAAGTACAAAGCATGATTGAATATATTACCCTAAGTTATCTGTCACTGAATGAGAAAAGTTGACATACATAAGTACTAGGGAAGTATAAAGCGTATAAAGAAAAAACCAGCAAAGCACTACACCCTGTGATTACATGAAGGCCATGCTGGAGGGCAACAGTAGATAATATCAATTCTGCACTGCAAAACAAAATCTAAGGACAAGAGGCCTGTTATACCACTGCCATCCCTAAATTATTTGCCTAATGCTTCTTTTGTTTGCATTTGAAACCATTAAGTGGGAACTGAGCAGAAAAAAAAGGTCTTTTGAGTCCAGAGCTACAGACAAGGGTGACTAACTGCTTGCTGTTTACCCATAAAATCCCATAACAAAATAAAAACCTTTAGGAAGACAAGTCAGGCTATACTGAGCTTTAAAGCTTAATCATGAAATAGAAGTGCACTGAATATAGAGTATTCTCCAACATGCTAAGAAACTACAATTAACTGGATGGGTGAGTGTAAGGACATGATACTACTGCTTATACAGCTGTAGAAAATCGGGAATGAAAGACAGCAATATCATCACAAAAAGTGTCATAATTAAATGCAAGCTGCGAAAACACAGAAGGCTTCCCGGAGTAGCATTTCCTTTATGAAAATCTGGATTTAGTGACAAGATATTCCCCAATTTAAAGTAGTAAGTTGATACAGTATGTAAGAAACTAGGTCATCCAGTATACGCTAAGTGTAGTGATGCTACGTTATTCCATAACATCAAAATGAAGGTGAGAGGCTGTCTTGTTTCTCTAGAAGGATGCATGATCCCCTACTTATAAGTCATGCAACATTTTGAACTAAGAAATCCTTTATTTGAAAATTAAGAGACTGTTTACTCTGTAATCAATGAGTCTGTGGAAGAGGCAAAAGCAAACCAACATGAGAAAACACTTAACCAAGTACTTCTCGTACTTTTCTTGTTCATGTCATCCCTGTGTCTTTCAGGCCATGTTAATTCTACAATGTCTACAGAACAGTCTTATGAAAAGGACATGAACACACCTGGATATACATTTATGTATACCCAATTCTCTGTTCCTGTATAATATAAAAAACCTCTTTTTAATCAGCCTTCAGTGAGACCAAGAGACCAACCAACATTTCTGTTCAAAAACTTAGGGATGGGCAGGGAGGTAAGAGGGGGGTACAAGGAAGCAGAGAGGGAAGACTCAGGCAAAGTAGTAGAAAACAGGAACTGGTATTAGTCCTCAATTTTCAGGAAAAAAAAAAAAAAACAAAAAAAAGGGTTCCACAAAAATACTTCTGCAAAAATTTCCATTTTTTTCTAACAGACAATCACTTCTAGATAGAAATCCTAAACACAGCTACAGTACACTGAACTTTAAACTACTTTAAAACTTACAAAAGTAAAGGAAAAAATCTCTTTAGGATGATCCCAACCTTAAGGGGGGTTCTGAAGGGGCATAAGTGCAATTATAAAACACACCTTCTCTGTTACCTAAAGAAGTGACAGCCTTTTATTGTGCTTGTGAAGGACAAGTCCTACATTCATCATTTCTCATTTCAGGTTATGTAAACCCAATAGCTAGTGTGTAAGTTCAAATGTGAAAGTCTGTAAAAGTCCTGTTTTCACAGCTCTCTCCTTTTGACAAGGGCAGCTTCGATGCAGCGACCCTCAAACTTTAGCACTGGGAACTTCAAATGATTTCACTGAAAGGACCAGTGAGTTTTAGGAACAACCATGTGAAAGCTTTAGTCTTCAAGAAAAAGCAATGACACTGGATAAATATTTATCCATCTCAGGTATAAACTCAGTAATGTTTGTGAGAATACAGATGAAAAGAGCAGAGCTTTGGTATGAGTAGTTACTGAATTCCTCCTCTTCAAGTTTTCAAAAACAACAGACAATACAAGATTTTGATTCTTAAATTTATTTTTAGCAGCATGTGTGTACTAATGGATGGTGACATCATTAGAAGACAGGTCCATGTCCACCACCTGCAACAGAAGCTAGACAGATGTTAAAGAAAACAATTTAAGACTTAAAGATGACACTACTTACCCTGAACAGACTTAGGAAAGTCACCTACTAAGCAGTACAGTTAGCTTTTGATGCAGACATGATAGCTCATATTACTTATCTGTTGTCAAAATTTCCTGTCAAGATTTAATGCATACATTACCTTGATTTTGATGGGAATCATGCACTTCTGTTTCAGAAATAACTATTAAAGAAACTCTTATTCTTAAAAAATTACTCATGGAAAGACTGGTTATTCAAAATTACTTACCTGTAAAATGTCTTCAGAAGATAAAAGATCTGCAAATTTAGGTCTAAAGCTCCCATCTAAAGTTTAAAGCTAATGAGAATTCTCTGGGAATTCAAATTCTGATACTATTAAACCAGATCAACAGCAGGTAATGTTTCTAGATTCAATTAAGAATACATCCACATTTCCTGCCATACCTGGCTGTCTGACAAATCAGTAAGCTAGGATCTCAGCATTATAATCAGCTAAGTCAGCAGGCCCTATAGAAAGTATCAAGAAGACATCCTGATTAGGATGTCTTCTTGATATATAATCTTACATCTTGAAATGTAAGATTTCTCATTTCAAAACTTCAGAATGTTTATCAGCCTCTACTTCCCAAACCAAAAAGTTCTACTGGTAGTGAGTATGAAGTCCCTCATCTTAACACAAGTTTAGAAACTTCATTCTAAGGTTCTTCTTCTTTACAATCTTTTGGCTCAGAGACCTTTATTAGTGCCCTGGGCTCACACTATCTTGGCTCATAGGTCTCATTTATACCACACTGATCAGCCTTAAAACATTCTTACAGTACACTTTGACATCCTAGGGCTTCATCTGCTTAAAACAGACTCCTACAGATACTGAAGACTGTCTCCTACTTTGTAAAGAAAGACCTTAAACAGGTCTAAAAATGGAACTGTGATGGATTAGAATGAAATTCTTTAACAGCTTAAATAATTCAGCCAAGAAACCCAGTCTTCAGGACCATGACAGCCTGGTAATATGCAACTGCTTTCTCTTACAATTATGAACTCTGATATAGTAATATTGGGAAATTAAACTATTTAATGTTTGTTGAAAACAACCAACAAGGGTGGAATCCGTTCACAGCTCCACTACCATTTGTAATTTCTTTTTAATTGAGCACTCTTGTTTTCACAGAAGAATAAATCTGTCTGAAGGAGTCACTGCCTTTCAAGCAACTCACTGTCCCAGTGGTCTACTATACCTAAACAGAGTATAATTGCTGGTAATGAGCTACAAAAACAAGTGTCTCTAGACAATCAGTCCTTCACTGAAACTGTGGGAACGTCTCCTTCAAACACACACACAGAGGAAGGCAGGGCACGTGATGAAAAGCTTAAGGCTTCCTGTTCTTTAATCTTCCAGGTTCCATTATGCAGTTGGGTCAGTTGCTACTGCAATCAGCACTACTGTGCATACCATCTAGCTTACATGAAGCTGGTTGTTATTATTCCCACAGGATAAACACAGTAAAGTTGATAAGAACAGCCTTCATCAATTGCTCTTCTGTGAGGCACAGAGCAAAGGAAGTAAGACAGGAAATAAGAGTAGGTTAGGAATGATACAACTGATCTAAGTGAGGACTTCAAACATAGTGAACAGCATTTTCCTGAACAAAGGCACCACAAAATCTGAACTCAAGTTATGAAGTTATAAAAAGGTAAAGAAATCACTAAGTGAAGAAAATGTTCTTGACAGGCCTATATGATGAAACCTGAAAAGCAATTTGTTTTGGCACCGTATATGCGTATGCTGCAATTACAGGGCACTATAATTGTTCCCATATGCAAAATGATGCAGTTTCAGTTCTATTACTGTAATACTTAAGTTAGCATTGGAACCTATGGTTCAAAGCTGAGACAAGGGATTTGGGAAGCAACTGACATGAAATTATGGACATATTTAGAATATGCAAGATGTTCAACAGGAAGCTTTACAGTATTACATAGTAGGAAAGGAAAATGGATAATCGGTAATAGCAAAACCAGAATAATTTAGGGGATCATTTGCTCATAATGAGCTGCTCATTGGATCCTTCTTTTATTATGATCTGTCTAGCCCTAAGGGTGCTAGTGCTGCTAACCAGCTGTGTTAGAGGGTGTAGGAGCTAAAACTACATTTTACTGGGTTTAATGGATGCCCGAGTCAGGTTAAAAAGTTGAGCTGAAAAACAGTAATTAAATTCTTGTTCTCTAGCAAATGCATAACTAAGACTTGCAACAATAAATGAAAAGAGCATGAGAAAGAATTACTCTATGAAGAATTACATTTGTAACACTCAGGATAAGACTTTCTATCTGCACTACTAAATTAAGTCTGTACATATAACAAAGACTGAACAGGCTAAAAACCCAGAAAGACAAACACTGAAGTGATTACACTTGTAACATTACCTGATGTTGAGCTAGTTTAATAGATTTAGAGCACAAGAACCAAACAAGATGTTAATAATGTGCTGGAAGCAAAGACCTAACAGCAGCAATTAAATCTCTATCTTTGGAGAGAAAAGTTGTTTAGGCTAACTAAGAACATATGCAAGAACAAGCTTCAGTGAAGAATGGACTAAAACAAAACATTACGCACTTCCAGCTTATGTTCCTTCTCTGCAAGGAATTCTTTTTGACATCGGAGAAAGTCTGATAACATTCGAGTTAGCTGTTTTCTATCATCTATTTCAGCTGCCAACCTGCCATTGTAATCCGCCAGCAACATACATGCATCATCTACCATTTTGGAAAGTTGCTCTCCAGATTCCTTATCTAAAAAGGCAAGCAGAGAAAAACAAGTAAAGCATGATTTCATTACATACCCTTAAGTTCTCAGAACCACATTTTGGTTACTGGGTCCCCAACCCTCACCTGTTATTCTGTCTAACAGAGACACATCCTGCACCTCTATAGGCAGAGAGGCTATTCTCTGATGAACTGCTGCATCCCCAGAGGCAGCGTTTTCTAGTTCTTGCAATGCTCTAATGAGATCTGTGGTCTGAAAAAAGCATGCAAGATTGGAGAACTAGTTTAAATAAACAGATCCTAGAACAAAACACTATTTCACAATAAGCCTATGGAATTATTTGATGGTAATTTTAACAGAATTTACAGCATCAGCTTTTACACTGAAAACAACAAATCCAAACCTTTAATTCTCAGCACAACATTTCAGTGTTTCTAGTTTTAAAGGTCACCTTCCTACAACAGATTTTTCATTTAAATTCTTGGTATAGAACTACTTATGTTTTATTCTTGACAGTGGTGGTTATTTTACAGTACCTTTCACTTTACTATACATTTTTGGAATTATTTTTCTTATAGCTTTGCTTCACTCTTGCATCAGACTAGATCAGTGCACTGCTTCTGAAAGCAGGGTTGATGTTCACAGAAGCCCAGATGATTGTTACAGAGAAACATAGTCGTTTGTGATTATCTGAGGACAATCATTCCTTGCCATAACAAAAAGCCTTCTGACATGGGGCAGTACCATAATGAACAACCCACAAGAGTTAGAAGACCCATAACAGTGCAAGGTAGACAAGAATTTTTCCCAACCATCATGACTACAACATTGAGAAATATTTTACTGACAAATCCATAACAATCTTACTCTAATACATGTGCTACTTGCTACTACTACCCTGGAAACCAAATGAGAACCTAGAACATTGTAGAAAGCAATGCTGAAATCCTGGTGTGAACAAAGCTGGACATACATTCGAGTTTAGTGTCAAACTGCCCAAAGTTACAGCATACTCCACTTGTAACCTGAAGTACTGTCAACAGTTTCAGGTGTAAGTCACTCTTGCTCAGAAAGAATACCTCATTAAAAAGAAAAACAGACCATTCAAAAACAAGATTATCTGTAAAATTCTATATGAAACCATACATAAATACAGATTTTTTATAAACATGTTTTTACCTGAGGAGGGTCAGTGGGAGAACTTCGAGGTGAACAGTTATTTTCATCAACTTTTATCTGTTCATATGTGCGCTTCCTCACCTTTCTGTCGCCATCTAAATGAAAACAAGCAGAGCAGTCAGGGAAATCGTATTTCCAACTAGAGATTGAACCTTCATACACATGCAAAATACTTACACAAAGCTTGCCTAAGCTGTTCTAACACATCATTTTCATAAACAGACCTTTCTTCCCAGATAGACAGCACTCGGCCGAGGTGTTTCTTACAACTCTCATCAGACTCACTGTTACAGAGGAAAAAAGCAAATATCAGCACTAGGTGGAAGTACAGCCCTGCTGTATGACCACCTTTCACAGAAGGACCTTCACATACCTTAGCAATATCCAAGCATCACAAGTTAAACTCAGGAAATAACAAATATCATATTTTAAAGGAAAAAAAGCAAGACCAGTTCAAGGTGTCTTAGCAAGCACATAACAACTGAGGACCAATGCCCAATTCTCTCTTTTCTTGCTCAACCCATAAATCTCTATGTCTGTAACCCTGTTATACAAACACTGCAAATAGGTTTGTTTTGCTTCAACAGCTGTGTGCCATTGTGAAAATAATCCTGTATCAAGACTGTAGCTTCCTCATGCAGTAAGATTAACAGCTACTGGGGAAAAACAAATCATGCAACACCAGTAATGAAAAATATCATACTGTTGTAGCACATAAATGCAGACCAAAAGCAAATCTTAGTTTCAGGAACAGCTAACAGCTTTCCAAGGCAACAGGGACTGAATGCTGATGAATTTACTATGAAACTTCATCCAACAGCATTAAGACTATCCAAGATCAAAAGAACACTGAATAAATTAAATTAACAAGACCTCAAGCACAGAAATAGCACACAAAGACTAGCTGGGTCAGAAGAGATGAACTGAGGACTTCTTTAATCCCCCTCAAATACAGTATGATGAAGGACACGGCATGTAGAAGTTTACTGTACCTTGAAACATGTTTAAAAGCCTCCACTATTACTGGAGCAAAGTCTTTTGTAAATTCTGGTCCTTTTCTTTTGCTGTTCTGGATTACATCATTGGCCAAATACAGGAATGTCAGCTTCCTGTTTGGTTTTGCTAATAAAGAGAGTAATAAAGAATAATTAGAAATGTTATTTCCTCCAACTAATACCTATTTATCCACGTTTATGCTGCACACAAACATGCACACACCCCAACCCCAACCAAAATCAAATGTGTTTTTCCTATTTACAACGTTTCATATTTTCAACATTTTCACATGAAAA